GTTGTATGGCCCCGGTTATGCACAGTATACATGTGACTGTATGAAAATGGAAAATGGAAAATAAAACATTTTAACATCAAGACGCAGCAGAACGGATTGCTTCGCCTCCATTCTTTTATTCACCGGGGCTGCAGTAGAACGTGTGTTTTGGAGCTGTTTTCAAAACTAAATGCACACGTGCGTGCGAAGCGCATGCTCGGCGAACCGGTTGTTACACCCGTTGAATCCCACCACTGCCAGTTGCCTCTTGAAAAAGCACCTTTGGGACTGTATTAAAGCAAGCTAATCTTTCGGCGAGTACCGTGAAGGCCTTAAGCAAGAGTAAAACACATAAAGGACCATCCGCCCAGCATGACAAGGAGCTTCCCTGTCGTGTCAAGAGAAAAACCAGGTTGCCCTCCATGCACCTGGTAAACGCATCGCACGGAACCGGAGCGGGGTGTCCAACGATCCCGGGAGTCTTTCCAAACTGCAGCCGGACCGGCTGCTTGTTCTGCAGCTTGCTGATGATGGCATCGTTCACCGGAAGCCAATCCATGTTTGGGATGAGGAGCTGGCTGGGTAGGAGACAGCATTCATCGATCAAGGTATCGTCCGGCTCGCTGGGGTGCCCTTCGTCACGACCTGCCCAAGGGAAAAAGCTTTGGGTCAGTGTTTTTCACCCTTGCCCGCTTTAAGAGGTGTGGACCTCAACTCCCAGAATTGATGTGTATTGGATCACAAACACCTGTTTTCACTTGGGAAGCATTTCTAGATAAATGATGAAGGGGATTCCTTTTTTAAAAAAGAAAATTGGGTAGACAGGTAGCAAAAACATGCATTATTATTACTTCCATTGTGTCAGCTTCTATATCACCTGGCTTGCTATCAGCTGCCATAGTAACAGGGAGGGAAGGGGTTTCGGTATTTGGGAGGGGAATCGTGCCGGAGGAGATATCTCGGGACGAGAAGGGAATTTTGTTCTCACCATCTTCTGTGCATGCTGAATGATCCTGTTTTAAGCCTGGTCAAGGTCAACCATCTCTGCATGCCAGATGGATGAAGCCACCTGAAGATGCAGCCCACATGACATCCTTGGGGACTGGAGATTGGACATTCGCCTTGGGGTCGTTGGAGGGAGGGATTTGGGTAAACCTTTGATACGTACAATTTTGCGCCTTTAGTTTCAGATCTTGCTTTACTTTCAATGCTTTCACTTCAGATTCAATAAAAGTACCTTTTCTCTAAAACTATGCAGTTGGGGGTTAGGGTTAGGGTTTCTTGAATTTTGAAGGAGGCGCACTTGACACATTATTTTATGGGAATGTTTCTTTTTTTTTGTGAAAAAAAATCCATTTCAAAGAAAAGAAATTTCTTATTTTTTTTCTCAAGTCTGAGCCAGAAAGTTTTGTGTCCGAAAGTCACAAAAGGTGTCAAAACAGGACACTGCAACTGTCATAAATGTGGGACTTAGATTTAGAATAACTTTATTGTCACTTTGCCAATAGAGTGAGTCGGTTGCCAAGTGTCCAAATTTTGTTCACATGACCATGGGGGATGCTGAAACAGTCATAAAGGTGAAAAACAATTATGTGTCACTTTTTTCAGTGTCGTCGTAACTTCAAACACTAAATGAACTGTTGTAAGTCGAGGACTACCTGTATCTCACCTCCTTCTTTATCGTCTCAAAATGAAAAAGAAGGGTCCATGGGCTTGTCTCACAAACCAATACTGAAACAACGTAGATCAAAACTCAAGCCTGGAAATGGTTTATGTTGAGCTCCAAATGCTCAAATGGTTTCTGAGCTTTGAATGAGTCACACCTGGCTCATGTTCTGCACACCATTTCTTTGTGCTCCAATCCTTCAAGCCAGCCTAGAACACAATTCTATGCTGCATAAAACTGTGAGAGGGATCTTGGAGACAACCATTGTAATATGAGCCAGCAGTGTGCAGCAGCTGCCAAAAAAGCCAACATAGTTCTAGGCTGCATCAACAGAGGGATAGAATCAAGATCACATAAGTGTTAATATCACTTTATAATGCCTTAGTAAGGCCACACTTGGAATACTGAATTCAGTTTTGGTCACCATGATGTAGAAAAGATGTGGAGACTCTAGAAAGAGTGCAAAGAAGAGCAACAAAGATGATTAGGGGACTGGAGACTAAAACATATGAAGAACGGTTGCAGGAACTGGGTATGTCTAGTTTAATGAAAAGAAGGACTAGGGGAAAAACGATAACAGTGATCCAATATCTCAGGGGCTGCCACAAAGAAGAGGGAGTCAAACTATTCTCCAAGGCACCTGAGGGTAGAACAAGAAGCAATGGGTGGAAACTAATCAAGGAGAGAAGCAACTTAGAACTGAGGAGAAATTTCCTGACAGTTAGAACAATTAATCAGTGGGACAGAATTTGCCTCCAGAAGTTGTGAATGCCCCAACACTGGAAGTCTTTAAGAAGATGTTGGATAGCCATTTGTCTGAAACGGTATAAGGTTTCCTGCCTAGGCAGGGGGTTGGATTAGAAGATCTCCAAGAAGATCTCCAATTATTCTATTCTACTCTATTCTATTCTATCCCTCTCCCTCGTTTGGCAGCACATCAGATTACTCACAGCACAGCCACAATTTGGTAAGAAGCCGGAAAAGGAGGGACATGCTGTCCTGGGTGTCAGACGTGGCTATATAAATGGGAAGACAGCTTGGCTTCAAGAGGCCCCAGATCCGGATCATGACCATCAGTTCGCGGAGCATCCCCAGGGAGGCTCCATCCCGGAGGAAACTGTGACCTGGCCGAACAGGTCCTGATGCAGGTCCAGAGCCCTAAAGGCAGAAAAAGAAACCTTGAAGGCAGTCCAAGGCTGAAAGGATGCACACAATTCTTCAATTAACATGATTGGTAGACTTATAATAGAAGAAAAGAAAGACTCAAATTTATTAGGAGCTTGAATTACACGACATCAAATGTGACAATGAACCTCCTGCACAATTTGCATTATGAGTTAATAGCAATAGCAATTGCACTTAGACTTATATACCGCTTTATAGTGCTTTACGGCCCTGTCTAAGAGGTTTACAGAGTCAGCCTAGTGCCCCCAACAATCTGGGTCCTTAGGAGGGAGGATGGAAGGCTGAGTCAACCTTGAGCCGCTCAGAATCGAACTGCCAAACTGCTGGCAGCCAGCAGTCAACAGAAGTAGCCTGTATTCTAACCACTGTGCCACCACAGCTCTTAAATGCCCTTGTTGTTGTTGTTAGTTGCGAAATCGTGTCCGACCCATCGTGACCCCATGGACAACGTGCCTCCAGGCCTTCCTGTTCTCTACCATCCTCTGGAGTACATTTAAGCTCACGCCGACTGCTTTTGCCCGCAATCTTTCCCAGCATTAGGCTCTTCTCCACTGAATCCTTCCTCATATTTAAATGTCCTTAAATATCCCTATCTGCCCATCCTTGGGAATTCTGCCTCTGCTTTGATTTCCAAAGCAAACCCATTGTTTCCAATGAGGTTACTCATGATCACCAAGGCAGGATTGGGAATAAAGGGTTGAGGCTAGCAAGCTGTCTGTCTTAACCAGCAATGGTTCTCTGGGACGCGCCCATCTGACTTTCCTTGGTTGAAGATACTAGGGTTCAATAGTTAGGAGTGCTTCAGTTTTAGAAATCTCAGCTAATGAAATAACGCAGTTTTAACTGGTTAATCTGCATATCTAGATTATCTAGACCCCTGCCAGTCAGGATTCAGGCCTGGATACGGGACAGAAATGGCATTGGTCACACTTTTGGATGATCTCTGGCGAGGCAGGATGGGGGTAGTGTATCCATCCTTGCTCTACTTGACCTCTTGGCAGCTTTCAATACCATCAACCATTTCTTCTAGAGCGGCTTTGGGGGATGGGAGTGGGAGGCCCTCTGCTATCCGGTTCACTTCCTTCCTCTGCGGCCGCTCTCAGTGTTGATAGGAGAGGAGAGATCCAGCCCTCGCCCACTGCTTTGCGGGGTTCCGCAGGGCTCGGTACTCTCTCCGCTCCTGTTCAACTATTGGGTGAGATCATCCGTCACCATGGACTGAAGTATCTGCAGCCTAAAGAATTGGCCCATGTTCCTCCCCAACCTCCTCACTGTCCGACTTTGCTGCCAGCTCCACTGGACGCTGGCAGGCCACAGCACCCTGAGAAGTGGCACCACTGAGAAAAGGCATTCCCTTCTCTATATGTAAAGGATAAGAGAAGGCCTCACTTTAAGCAAACAGTTAATATTAGAACTCAAATGGTGAATTTGACACAAACAAAGATTTACCCTCCATTAAGCAAAAAGCATCATAGGGCATCTGCTGCACAAGTGAGTCTCACCTGGTTGGGGAGACTGGCAAGCAAATAGAGCACAAAGTCCCCAACCCACTGGATCAGTTGTTGGAGAGATTGCAAGGTGGTCATCTCCAGCACAAATTCTTCTGTCTTCAAATTAATCATCACTTTGTCAATATCTGGAAGGATCAATGGGAGGAAATTTCAAGGGGAGAGATGAGAGATTAGGCATTAGGAAGAACTTCTCAACAGGAAGAACTGTCAATCAAGTGGATGAGGGCAGTGCATGGAATGATTTCTTCCCCTTTACTGGAGGTCCCCAAAGGTGCTTTTTCAGGAGGCAACTGGACTTTCTTGTTTTTTCTTTTGAAGACATTTCGCTTCTCATCCAAGAAGCTTCTTCAGCTCTTGCAGGATACTGGGGAATGGAAGGATTTATATTCCTTGCAGACAGATGGTTAAAAAAACCCTCCAAGTGCTTCAACGACCCTCTAAAAGAATGCAAATTATCAGGTGTGTGTGTGCATATTATATATATGCATACATGCATGCATGCATACATACATACATACATACTGCATTTGTGCTGATAAATAAATAAAGGGAGACTAGTATAGATCTATTTCAAGCTATTTAGCTCTCATCAGCTAGCCATACCCTTACTGGGACTAGCTGATGAGAGCTAAATAGCTTGAAATAGATCTATACTAGTCTCTCTTTATTTATTTATTAGCACAAATGCAACACAAATTATGGTTTCCTGCCTGGAAGGCTCCTAGGGTGGAGCTGAAAGGCAAAAAGGGAAGCAGTATGCTCCCTCCCATATTTGGGCATACCAAATGCTTTGACATAACATGTATGTATGTATGTATATATGTATGTATGTATGTATGTACGTACGTGTGTGTGTGTGTGTTTGTGTGTGTGTAAAATACTGGGGATATTCCTAAAGCAGCAAATTTCATTATGAATGAACAATTTTCTAAACTGGAACCAATTCATTAGTCATTTGATTGTAAATTTCTTTCTTTCTTTCTTTCTTTCTTTCTTTCTTTCTTTCTTTCTTTCTTTCTTTCTTTCTTTTTTTCTTTCTTTAGAATTTAATGTGTAAACAGTTTGCCATAATTTATTAGTTCCTTCAAAAGTAACTTAAATTGTAGCTTCCCTTTTCTCTGGGACAGATGTCTCCAAACATGGCAACTTTAAGACTGGTGGACTTCAACTCTCAGAATTGCTCAGCCAACATAGCTAGCAAAAGAATTCTGGGACTTGAAATCCAAAAATCTTAAAGCTGCCATGTTTGGAGCCCCCTGCCCTAGGATACCAACAGGCAGAGACATATTGATAAAAAAAGAGACTAAGAAGCAGTAACGAAAAACTTTGGGATTATTTGGTTCTCTGTGATACTGATATTACCAAAAACCAAGCAGGCAAGGAACATATTAAGAAAGAAAAGAATACAGAATACCAGAAGGTCAGTTTTGCAAATCCAGCAACGTTGACATTATCAGAGGAGAATGTCATAATTCCACTTTTAATTATGAAATTGTCTTTCAACCATGACTATAACATTGAGGGAGGGAGAGAAGGAGAAAAAAAATGTAAATAGCAAGCTGGGGAACTTTAAGATATGTAGACTTCAACTACCAGAATTTAAACCAACTATGCTGGCTGGGGAATGCTAGAAGTCCACATATCTCAAAGTTGCCAAGTTTGGGAAACACTGGTCCATCTGATGGTAAAAAACAAACAAACAATAAGGTTGCTATGGCAATGCAATTGAAATTCTGCCCTTTTTGTGTGTGTAGATGCCCACAAAATGACAGACAAGACTTCAATCATGGAGCTTGGCCACAATTGGAACGTTTTGATTCTTCCACCCTACATGGACAATCTTGAAAATAGAAGAATTTTTAAAATGAGCTTTTTCTTCTTTTTCTAGTAGACCAAGGGAGGACCAGCCCTTTGGAACATACCTATATCGGTGATCTTGGCACAGATCTCAGTGAGCCTGTCTCCAGGGGTCTTGTCGGGCGTGTTGAGGACAGGGGGGCGGAGCAGGGACTTCAGGGTGCAACTGATGGCGATCAGGAAAAGCTTAGCGTGGTAGTCACACACACGTGCCACCGTACTGGAGGAGAGCTTGCAAAGTGAGGCTTTCATGGCAATGATGCGTGTGGACAGAACCTGTCAAAAGAGGGACGTGATCAGCCCTGAGAATGCTGCTCCTTTCAGCAAGGACGTTCACACATTAAAATCAACAAATAAACAACATGAGTTCACTTGGGGTTTCACTTCTGGCAGTTCAGGTTTCTGTGACCCCAAAAGATTTACTCCAAACACACCAGAGGTGGCATTCAGCAGGTTCTGACCAGTTCTGGAGAACCAGTAGCAGAAATTTTGAGTAGTTCGGAGAACTGGTAAATACCACTTCTGGCTGGTCCCGCCCCCATCTGTTCTCTGCCTCCCGAGTCCCAGCTGATCAGGAGGAAATGGGGATTTTGCAGTATCCTTCCCCTGCCACACCCACCAAGCCACGCCCTGCCCACCAAGCCACGCCCACAGAACTGATACTAAAAAAAATCTGAATCCCACCACTGAAACACACTTGGCTAATCATGATTTAACCCTGGTGAAACCATGGTTTAAACACACAACAGAGTCCATGTCCCATTACATGTCCATCTAACACCACTACTCGTGATCTATGCTCCCCACCCCCAATCAACTTCCAGGTACAATTCAATTATTGCCTTAAAAACCCTACACAGAGTTCCCAGCGTATGACGACAAATGGGAACGGAAATTCGGCCGTAAGTTGTCGTACGTCAAGGCACTTGATCGTGATCAGCTGTTTTTACAGCAGTCATTAGGCCAATTGTGAAACGGTAAGTCTAAATCACATAGTCATTAAGTGAATAATATAATCATTAAGCAAGTCCATTCTTCTGAAGAAAGAATGGCGGAAAAACCACCCTGCAGCAAACTGTGGTCATGCAACCACAGGACACTAGGGTTGTGGCCCGCCAGAGTTGCACAATAAGGTGGTTGAGGAAGAACATGAGCCAGTGCTGGAGGTTAGGGAAGGCTCAGACAAAGGCTTTGCGTCAGAGGCAGAGATGGGGCTAGTCTGGCAGTTCTCAGCTGCCTTCAGAGTCAGACATCAGTGAGGCAGAGGAACAGCTGGAGCCTGTTCCCAGTGTGCGCATGCTCAGAGCTGCCAGAAGAAAAGAACAGCTAAGAAATCAGGGTCAACTTGGGAGTCAAGCCACAGGTGAATGGCCCCTCCCATGGGAAATAAAAGAGGAGCGAAGGGGGAGTGGGCTTTTGCAGGAAACCGTTCGTTTGTTCGTTTGTGAAGATCTGTCCGTGAATCTCAGAGATAATGTTGCAAGAGCCAATCTGGGTCAGTCACCGGGAAAGAGGTTTACTCTTCCGAGCTTTTGGATTCGTGCTGGAGCCCATCTTCAGGGAACCTCTCTCTACTGGAACATGGGCTTTGGGCTATTGTGAGTCAAAATTATGTGGTGCCTTCCTATTGGTAGACTGGTGTGTTGACTGCCAATGACTGGGTGTTGTTTCCTTGTGCTACCAAGTCCTTGGCTCCTAAACACCTGATAAGCTGGTGGTAAATCAGCACTCCTCTCGACTGACGAGGGACCCATTTCCCAGGCTTCAATCATTTCCTTGGCTGTTTTTGTACCTGCTCGGCCAACAATCTTAGTAGTTGCGAAATTGAATGCATGTTTCAAAAATGGGAACTCACCTGCTGCAGGGCAGCATTCTGGCGCATGTATTCCTCGTGCAGCTTTTCCACCAGATTCTGCACCATGCCGGGCTGGACGTGAAGCAGGATGTCCCACCAGTCATATCCTGTCACCATGCAGTACTCCAACAGGAAAAGCAAATGACGGAGGGAAATATTCATATCCAAAACATGCCCCATGGAGGGAGAGATCCTGAACATGCTAAGCTGCAGGGAGCAAGGGGACAGACAGAAATGACACATCAGATGCAGCCAGGAAGTCAGTTACCTCCATCTTCCAGGAAAGTGTGTGTGTCTGTCTGTCTGTCCAGGGATTTTTTTTCCATAACACCCTCTGGCAAGATTAATGCTTGGCACTTTTCAGGATTCTGTTCTTGTTTCAATCAGGGAGCTGCAGGATTGCTTGCCCGATTGTGAAGTTTGACTCATTTGTTTGAGTTATCCGTTCTTGGCAATAATTCCTTGTTTTGCCTGGGTTGATCTCGGAGAAAATAAAGGACTTTCCAGTTAAATGCACCACAAAGCAAAGGGATATTTCCTTTACAAACTGTTGGACTTGTTTATGGAATTCCCTGCAACAAGCTATAGCGATAGCCAATAATTTAAAGGCCTTCGAAAGGAAGTCACTTGGATTCATGGTGGAGGGAGCAAATAAGCTATTATTTGCAGGGGTTAACATGCCTTTCCAATCAGAACAGACCCAAACAGCTGATGTACCCTATCAATGTAAAGGAAGTGAAAATGTACAAATCGAATGTTGTCAGTGAAAAACCAGCTGTGGAGACAAATAAAGCTCTTCACTCATTCATCTTCAGAATACAGGGATACAGGGAGTTACAAAAGTGAGATGCTCATATGAAAAACAACACAGGGAGATAGAGATGGCTGATGCCTTGGAGACATTTGGCTGTCTGCTCTATGAATCTGGAAGCAGGGGAGAGGATTTTTCTTATGATCCAATCCTGCTCTTACGTTTTTGTCTTGGGGAAAAAGGGAACTGCAAGTAATGCTTGACTTACGACCACAACTGTGCCCCAAGTTTCTGTTGCTAAGCAAAGCAGATTCCTTAAGTGAGTTGTGCCCCATTTTGTGATCTTTTTGCCACAGTTGTTAAGTGAATCATGCGGTTGTTAAACAAATCTGACTTTTCCCCATTGACTTTGCTTGTTGGAAGCCAGTTGGGAGGGTTACAAACAGAGGTTGCATTCAGCCGGTTCGGACCGGTTCATCTGAACCGGTAGTGGAAATCCCCAGCTCTATACCAGCTCTATGCCATCCTATTTAGGCATGTTTTTGAGGCCAGGCGCATGCTTTTGAGGCCAGGTGCATGTGTGAGCAAAGTGCATGCGCAGAAGGCTGGGCAGATGCATGGAAGGGTGCAAAGCGGGCGGGTGCGCACACGGTGAACCAGTGGTAACAAAATGTGAAACCCACCGCTGGTTACAATGGGTAATCAGATGACCCCAGGATAGTGCCACTGCCATAAATACATGCCAGTTGCCAGCTGCCAATTGCTCGAATTTTGGTGATGTCCCCATGGGGATCCTGCAATGGTTGTGTGAAAATTGGTTGTTAAGTCACTGCTTTAAATACTATGGGGATCTTACTCTGTAGCCCCAAGTGTACCTTTCCGTGGCTATCGACCCCAACTAAGGCCAGCGAAGTCCAAGACATCTGCATCGCTTTGAAGTAGATCAGAGGGCCCGACGTTCTCTGCCGTTTGATGGTCTGGTCATCCACTGGGCGCTGCGAGCTGGAGCCATAAAACACCGCCATGGTTTGCAAGGAGAGACGGTTGATGATGTGGACGCTGCCATCGTGGAAAGCAAGCGCCAGGCCTGGAACAGAGGTGGGGTAAATTGCAGAGGGATTTTAAAAATGGTTTACTGAAAGAAGAAGTAGGGCTGCATTCCTTTTGGACTATTCTAGTATTTTATCCCTGAACAAGCCAAACCAAACATCACTGTTGGGAGACACTTCTGCTCACAATATAGTATCAGCGGCAAATTACTAATTTGGTAAGCTGCTAAATAAAGTTTTAATTAGGTTTGAAAAAGATGCATCTATGATTCCCAAGACTTGATATCCCACTTTTAGGCATTTATACTTTTCTTAGGAGAGCCAGTTTGGTGTACAGGTAGTTCTCAACTTAGGACTGGTCTCTTAGTGACCTTTTGAAATTCTGATGGAGCCATCTGGGTGTTATTTATTACCTAGATTTGAAGTTCCATTGGTCACTCCTTTGCGGCCCAGAACAGGAAGTAGGGAGTTCAGCTTTGAAATTGGCAAGGGGGAACCTTGGAACTTTCCAAGAATAGATCACGCTAGCTATAGCACTTAAACTTATATACTGTTCCATAGTGCTTGAAAGCAGCTGCCTCCAACCTTTCTGGCTCGGCAGAACAGTAGAGGTGGCACAGCAGGGCGAGGGGGTGGTTTCACGTGTGCGCTCAGCCATCACTTCCGTGGCCCGGTTCAGAATAGGCCATGGATCAGGGGTTTGGGACTCCTGTTTTAATGCACTCCGAGCGCTTTACAAAGTCAGCCTATTGCCCCCAACAATTTGGGTCCTCATTTTAGCAACCTCAGAGGGAGTTAACCTTGAGCCCGTCAGCATCAAACTCCTGGGCTGTGAGCAGAATTAGTCTGTAATACTGCATTATAACGACTGTGTCACCACAGCACTAGATTTTTGGCTATCTGATGTAGGAAGTAAGCACCCACCCCTCCTAGAAGAATGAAATATTTTAGGAAATATTAAAAAGGCAGAATATTATATTTCCCATAAAAGAAAAATAGAAATCTTAAGGGAGACAGAGATTCTGAGATTCAGCTCCCTGCCCCCAGCAGATATCTGTTGCCCATTGAGAAGGACGGGGCCAGCCTTTCTACAAAACCAAAGACCTTCAGCTCCAGGGTGATGGGATTTAAGACATGACCCTCCAGGACATAATAGGATTATCTAGCGACAGGGCTCACTGCATTACAAAATCACCTGGGGACATTGCATCATCCTCCAGGCTTCAATCAAACTTGATTCAGACATACATGACCCCACGGGAGTCTGACTACAGCCAATAGAATACATTTCTTGCACAAGAACAGGAAGCTCAAGGGCAAGGCTCAAGATAGGGTATAAATATCTCTCATTCTCCACTCCATGTGCTCAGCTGCCCAGGACCACAAACCTATGTGGTTCTGCTTTATCAACAAACCATCTTTCCAATCAGCCTCCATGTTTCCAGTGTCTTTCTCCCCGCTTGGAATTGAACCAGATGGATATTTCTTCCAACACTGGTAAGACTACACATCCAAGAAAAAACTTTCCTCACCTAAACCTGGGTAG